TTAGAAATATACTGGCACATTTGTTGCATGGCCAGACACCATTCAAGAAGCAGTCACAATATTAAGGTGACATTTACTCACTGGTTTTCTTAGTGAAAAGACTACCAAACCCAGGATGATAAAGCAAATGTTTGAGATTTAATCCCAGCCTTGAACATAACAAAAAACCTCTTTCCCATTCCATCAGTGCTCTTTCCTCTCATATACATACAATGACAGCACAAGCTGGTGCTTGTTCCAAAAGAACAGAGACACACACAGGAAAGTACCTGAGGGTGGGGATGGCCAGTGCTGAACTCCTCCTCTGCCAGCAAGGCTTTGCCTGATACCCTACTCTTCTGCTGGTTACCCACCTTTCCCCACAACTCCCTCAGACTTACTCACTGGACTCATGTATCTACCTTCAAGCCACGCAGCCTCTTTTATTTCTGTAATTCTTCTACAATATTTTTCATCAGAATGTATTTTCTAAGTAGAGCAGCAGGGGAACACAAATATTAAAATAACACAAAATCTTAAAAGAAAGTGCAATATTGTCCTGCTGTAAAACTACTAAAAAGTCACAATTTACACCTTTAAAATTCGGTTCTCTTTTCTTCACATCTGGTATTATTAGATACCTATAATAATTTTTATGGAAGATTTTGTTGAAATCCTTCTTACAAACTCACTATTCTGCTTCCTACACAAATGTAAACTTTGAAGTCCATCTTTCCTTCCCCTCCTCAAAATTTTAAAAATTTTAAAAAATTTTAAAAAAACCAAACAAATAAGTTACTAATTTCTCCACAACAAATAGTCCCTCTGTTTATTCCAGTCAATGTAAAGGGCTAAAGAATATGCAACTGTACCTAATGCTGTGAGCCAAGACATCAGTACCCTAAACACTTGACCTCCAAACAAAAAGAAGCAAAAGGTATAAAGTATGCACCTAAAGCAGCATGCCATCTTTTAATTTGCAGAAAATAATACAACCTTTCTAGAATTTATACACCATCAACTCATGCAGCAAGTGCTAAAAGAAGACAATGAACAATAACATTATATAAATCAGCTGCACCTAAAATGCTGAATGTATTGCAATACCATAATACCATTACAAAATCTCTTAGGCACAGTCTTACTACTAGCAAATGCACAAGGTTCACTTTAATGAAAATTATATCCAAGGATATCACTAGGCTCAGAACTTGCATTTCCTTCATGTTCCCACACTACTAAATTTAACTATTCCAGAACTAGGCATAGGCATAACTATTGACCACATTTAGTCCAACAGGTGTACTAGGTCAGACCACAGATCTCCCTACTTCAGCACACCATCTCCACTATGAATGGCAAGGGGAGCAAATAAGAACAAACCTAGTATGTAAGGGATACATCCTCAGAATGCTGGAGTCTAAAGATAGGTAATGTCTTTCAATCTGGAAGAAAATACAGATTAGACAATCCAGTTCCTTTTAGATGAACACCTTTTTCAGTAGAATAACCAAATTAATATGTATAAAGCATATATATTCTGATATACAGTTTCATTTTTAAGGATCTACAAAACAGTCCACAGTTTTGTGCTCTGAAACTGCACGTTTTCAGTAACATTCATGAAGTTGGCTTTAAAAATATGCCTTAGGATTACATTAAAGATTTTCAGAATTCTATGTGTAAAACATTGAAGGGATCTAAGGAGCACTTTCCTAATTTGGGTATTACGTTATGCATAGAAATTCCATCCTCAATTAAGCTTTAAAGGCAAGCTCTGTGAATCATGGTAAGCCAAAATAGTGACAGGTGAAGGCCCATTTCGTAATAGTAAAACTGGGCTTTTTTGGCCACTATTACCTATTTGCCAAATGTTGTACATTGTACATTCTCATGGACTACAGCAACAGTCATCTGCAAATTCTAGATTTTACAGATTTGCCCGTCTTAATGCATCTTATATATAAAAAACCCCAAACAAACCACCAAACCTAACACCCACCTTGCTATGTAAAAACAATGTTTCTTCTACTTCTCTATGGAGTTGCAACACATTGAATCTCCTATGCAAACAGCAGATTAGCTAATCTTTCTTTTTTTGGACAGAAGGAAGAGAAGCCTGAAGGGAAAGAAGAGCAGAATACATGGGGTAACGTACTGGGCACATGTATCAATAAGCAACACTTTGAATTCTGGAGTTATGGAACCACAGAGCATGAGTTTTGTGGAGGTCTGAGTGAAACAACAGAAATCAGATATTTTTTTTTCCCCTGCTTTCTGCATGACCTTTGGACGGGGGCAGGGAAGTAAATAAAGACTATCAAGATCTCTGTTTACTCAGACAAGAATTTCGGAACAGCAGTCATCAACCACATACAAGTTTCTACAATCACACTGTGTCTTGGTAAGGAAGATATGCCTTAACTCTTGTTCATTTCCCAAAGAGAGATGTAAATCTCAAGTTGAAAGTTTCAGTACAAATGGAATGAGTTTCAATAATTTATTTTCTATTTCTTTCAATTCATCCTGTCAAGAATGCATTTACTATATCTTCAGGGCTTTGTAGCTTTCCTGTTTATTTTAATAACAGTATTTTCATGCCTAGAGCTCCACGCATTGAGATAAAGAGATCAAGGCACCTACACCAAATCCCATAGTGAAAAATATGAACCATAGTGTTTCTTGGTCTGTTAATGTAATTGCCATTCAGATATGTACAGTGGTAGCAGCCCACTGTAATGTGAAAATTTGAGCTGACCTTAGAGAGAGATGTGTGAGTGAAAACACATTAAGACAGCACTTATTTAATCAAATTCCTATTGTAGCCAATTCCACACTTTTTTCATCATTTAAATTAACAAAATGCTACTGTCTTCCATTAATCAAAAATAAATGGCATACAGAAGATATAGCCAGAAAGGAAGAAAAAGAAGAGCATGCTGAAAAGGTGAGAAACACAGATATATCAATCACAGGTAAAGCCTTTACCCAGGCATTTCTACCTTCACTTTGAGCAAGCACCACAGTATACCAGTCAGCAAAAGGACAAGGAGCATAAAAACCAGGTGTAAAAATTACAGGGAGTTGGTTGTGAAAATAATGATTGGGGTGAGCAACCAACTGCATCTCAGAGTACTCATGCATCTTCTTCCCTTTGAGAGGTGGAATATTTACACTTGTGTAAAGTCTCCACGTTTCACTGAAAACACACAGTTTTATCCAAGATCAATGCTGAAGTTGATCCAGCCTTTTTTGGGTGACTCAGGCTAAGGCTCACTAACACAAGCACCTCAAACTGCAAAAAGATGAAGGTGAGCAGCAAAGGAATGATGCTAAGCACCTGGGGAAAGTTCGGAGTGTAAGATCTTCCCTGGTACGTCTGCAGTCAGAAAGGAGCCTATTTCTAACTCACCTGTAGCATTAGAGTACAAATGTAAACCAAGTATTAAAGTAAGCTTGTTGGGGGAAAAAACAACACAACAAAAAACATAGTCACACTTTTTTCAATATTTCCTGTGTTAAAACATTGGAAGAAAAAGGCAAAAAGATATTTTTTAAAACAAAAGTCCTACTTGATGGATGTGTGAAGTAAACATGAACAGGTAATTTCAAGGTAGCAATGCTACCAGTAAATACTTCCTGCTCCAAATACTGACTCAAGTGTCAGTTCTTTGAGACACTCCACGATCTATGCGATCCAGAAAAGTCTTAAAAATTAAATGTTAAGGGGATAGAAATCAGTGATCACCAGGCCATCAATATCTCCATAGCCACAAACTCCAGCCAAAAGTAACCCAGGTTTTTATGCTGAGTTTATGAACCCCATTTATGCTGTATCACAAATACGGAATTTCTAAGCAACAATTGGAAAAAGTAACATAGAAATAATAAAATTGAACTCCTTCGACTTAAAGAAGAAATACATATGAAATTTCTTTCTCCAGAACTTCCCAGTCACAAACCTACCATCCTCTTATATGGCAGGGTACTGCACTTCCTTAGCTCTCACATATTTACTGTGCTTCCCTCTACACTGTTGTCTCCCTCATTAGCCTACAGATCTATTTTCCATTCTATACCTCAGTGTCTCCTTTCTCTATACAATTAACTCTTGCATTCTGCCAATCATATCTTATCTATTATTCCTAAACCCCAAACACCCCATATAAAGAATATGTCCCAGAAAAAGGTATATCAAAGAAAGGGGTTAAAAGGGAAAGAGAAGCATTTCACTTAAACTGGGACAAGGCAGACTGGAGATTCAATTTCCTACAAGATGACCTTAATCAAAAGCTTGGGATTTATAGAATAACTAAATTAGCAGTTCTCAGTAAAGCCCATAAGGATTACATCTAAGACATTTCAGTAACTGACAGAATATGCCACTTTTAAAATATTTATTAAGTATTTGCATAACATCTGATATGGCTTTTATTTCAAATATATTAAAAACACACAGTCATTTCACACAAAAAACATACAACTGTGAGAAATAAGAGCTTACTATGGTTTCCAGTGGAAAAGCAGAAAGTTTCCCATTACTTGTTTTCTTTTAGGCAAGGAAGGAAAGTAATCTAATTCATCTAACCTAAAGAAACAATATCACCTTGGCTAAATACAAGCAAACACAACTTCTGCCAACGCTGTTGTCTCACCAAAAAATATTTGTCATTTTCCACTCACCCCACTTCCCTCCTAAATTATCTGCCTAATCTCAACTGAGATCTCCATATTTCACCTACTGCAAAGACGAATGTTGGGTATAAACACAGCTCTCAGAGGCAAGGCAATCACTGCTGCAGGGTAACAGGAAAAATGTCTCTACATGGTTGCAATCATTTGCCTTTCACCACTTACTCAGACCAAAGCAGCAAAAAAGTTCAGGTCATTTCCTGACTGGCACAGCACGTTATAGCAAGATAGACATTCTATTAATTTTTAATTTCATTGCTCACAGACTGAAAGCTCAAAAGGGGAGCATTTCTTTTTAAAGCATAAAGAAGGGCACTGAAACTGCTTACCTCACTCAGCTCTGCAGGGGAGTCATTTCCATATTTCATAGCAACTCCAGAATTCATGATTAGACTTCTTAAGGCTTGACGATTTTTGCAGATTTCAATGCTTCAAAGCTTTGTTCAACTGGTTCAACACTTTCTCCTCCAAAATTTTTCTGTCTGACACATTTTGCTCTAGACAGCCATTTTTACTCCACATTGAGAGTTTAAGTTAATGAAGCAAGATCTTCTAAAAAACCCAAACTGGCTTTGACTTCACAGACAATCCATTGCTGTGAGAGACTTGTTAATACTGTGAAGTACTCAGAGAATGCAGGGAAGAAACTGCTGTCTTAGTCCATCTGCAAGGCGTGCTTCATCTCTGCTGTCTGTTTTATTCTGCTCTTTTCCACAACTCTGTTGAAGGGTATCTCCCAATGCCGTTAAACATACTCAGAAAAAATGTGATGAGCTTCTCACAAGTCCACAGAGAAATTAAAAAAAAAAGGAGCGCTGCTACAGTCTTCAGTGTTCACGGAGGGAGAAAGTAAAAGAGAAGAAAGCTCCCCTCCCCGAGAGAAACCAATGCTGCACTTCACGCTAAAGTTTCCCCTGCCAGTGAGCCTGGAGTTTAAGTGGTTTATGATCAAACACAGCTGTCTTGCTGCTGGCTAAAGGGTGCATGGAAGGGGCGGTACTAAAAGGAGAGTGCAAGTGGGAGGGAGAGAGCTACAGAGAGTTCATTTTGGAACTACAGGCATCTCTTCAGCTTTCTGCATACTAATTACTATACAGAAAACTATAAAGCTAAGTAACAGGAAATACCACCTGGATAACAATAAATTGAATTCCTATTTCCCTATTCTTGTGTGCAATTAAGTAAGGAAAACTGGGATCTTTAGGGGGTGGGAGTTGTAATGATTTCAAAAGGTCACAGTAAGCCTGAAAGCACCATTAGAATGCTGCAGATTTTACATAACAGACTGACATTTTACAAATGGTCCAGGAGATACTACCAGAAGGGGGGGAAAAAAGCATTTGCTTTCAACATTCAACTACAAATCTAGAAAAATCCTTAACAAGCTGGATTTGTGGACATGCTGCACCCATTGTAAGAACTGATGATATTCTGTCCCCTTTCCCGCATCCCCTAAAACACAGGGGGAGCCCCACACACTTTGTGATGCTGGATTATTATGTACTTTTGGAGTTAGAAGTAGGAGATACCCTACTCTGCAGCTGAAATTTATCTTATCATATTAATACAATGCATTATTAAAGTGTCAAATTAGTTCAGAAAAAAAACCTAAAATATAAGAAACAGAAATGAATGCTACACAAGCTGTGGCAGAGTTCTTACACCCTGCTGAAAAAAAACATCTGCATGGGAAACAATGCACTCCAAATGCAGCATTTTGAAAATTATATTGTGATTATTTCTTTCTCCTCTGTTAATCATGGATTAGTATCAGTGTGCAGACACAGGGATAGTTCATCCCAGTGACACTACAGAAAGTGCATTAAGAAGCAAAATAAACATATGAATATCGCTCTATGATAGTACAAAGCGGTAGCACTTTCTGGGTCCCTGTCCTTCCTCCATGCCCAGCATCAGGAACTGCAACACTGTTCTGGCTCAGAGGGTAACGGGAATGCCACAATCTCTTTACAAAATGTTTTACTTTCATCCTCCAGGTCTCCAATTTGCTTTAGCTAGTCTGCATCATGGGGTTTCCCTTGCTCTTTACACGTCCACCTTGCATTGCCTCCATTCTTCATTATTTTCCCTGTTGAGTCTCTGTCCCACCTTTACATTCAGTTCTGTCTCTATGTTCAGTGCTTCCGTGTATATTCCTCTTTACTAATCTGCTTTGTTTCCAATATGTTTCCAGTTATGGCCCCTCAAATCCCAGCGGTGGGCTGCACTGCTCTCTGCTGGCAGGTGGTGGTGATGCTGGGACAAACTGTGCTGTTCATCTCCAGTGGGTAGGAAGCCAGGAAGTTGCAGACTCCTCCAGACTACAGACTGCGGTATGGAACAGCATATCCACAGCACTGAAATATTATTAACAGGTTTTTATAACCATAAAGGTACTGTATAGTCAGTTCACCGTTGATGAGTGAACTCACAGATGATGTGTCCTCATAGATGAGGAAAAACCCCCACAACTTCAGTTCAAAAATTCCTGCAACCAATAAAATAAAATTAAAAATGTTTTATCTTTTCAAAATTATGCCTTCACAAACAGGGGGATATGAGTTTTTTGTGGTTTTTTGCATCACTACTCCTATCAACTTTATTTTCCCCTTTATAATCTGCTCTGCTCTGGTCTTTGTCCAATCCTGTTACATATATCACAGGTTCACCAACTACGGGATAAGCCTTGGAACTACTAAGAATAAAGTTCTAAGGTTTCCGTTTTCTAAAGGAAAGTCCATATTAATCATGGCTTCAATACACTGCATTTCCCATACTATATCCCTATACTGCCATATACTTCCCAGCCGACTGTGAACAGCCATTCGGAAATTAAAAGTTATGACTTGTTTTCTTCACTCACCATTGTTTGTCCATTTCTGTCAGATTAGGACATTTCAGCCATCCGACAGATCAGACAGAGCACATGGTACCACAGATGCATCCCAAGCATGATCATGCAGGACACTTCGGGATCTGAACTAGATTCACTGTAAACTCTACACATATGGTGCACAGGATTTTTTTCCACATTTGTTCTGCTCTTTACAGAATTCACAGCTTCAGAGGTGTGTAAGAACATGGGAGATACATGCAAGTACTTTCAGAACAAAGTTTATTTAAAATTTAAAAATTAATTGTAATCCATGTGCCAATGAATGAAATGGTTAAACCAAACTCTGATGAAAAATTATTTTACTTTAACCCCAGCTGACTCCCACTGCTATCTGCATACTTGCACTGATTGGTACAGGATTACACATTTCTCAGTTGGAAAGCATCAACTGTTAACCAACCCATAAAAACTGGCAATGCTTGTTTCAGAATCCTCATAAACTACCGTGGAGGGCTAGCTAAAATTAAATGCAACAATTCTTCTCAAATACTTACTCATATATCACATTTTTAAGATAGTAGCATCAAGAACATAGTCTGAGCACCTGAAGATGTAGAACTTGTTTTTCTGTGAAATGTCATTATCATCTAGCATTTCTCCAAGTCCATTTACTAACTGAATGAAAACATTACATCACAAAATTAAATTCCCAGATAGACCTGACCAGCTGTCTGCAGGCTGTTTTACCATTTTCAAATACATGCAAGACACCTAATACAATAGCAGGGTAGTAAGAATTTTGTTGAAGCCAAAGTATATTTTCCCACTGGCTTGTGCCAAAGGCACATTTCAAAGAAAACAAAGAAAAACCTCAAGTATGCCAATTCTGCATTGCCAGGAAATTACCACAGCACCCTGTGACCCAGTGAAAGAGGTGCCTTTTGGATTCAGTCCCTCTCTGTTTTGTTTGGCAGCATACAGTTCATTCTCTTCCTGACTCAGCTCCTTTCCTAGGATAGCAATGCTTCCTTGATCTCAGCCTTTTTCCTGTCTTCTCTTTTAGCCTCTACAGGCAAGGAGAGGGTCAGCCTGGGAATGGGAAGAGAAACCTCTTAACCTGCAGATGTACATTTTCAAGTCCAAGACGACATGGTCTCCGTGGATGCCTTAGTGTGTACTACAGCACACACAAAAAGGAGGTAACAAGCAGCTGGACAAACCTTTCTGTCACAGAGGCTTTCAGGAACAACATCCAGCAAACGCTTTCTCTCAAGACAGTGATGCTGGCTTGGGCTTCCACTCCATCCCATGCATTCGGATCCATTACTGCCTTTTGTACCTCTAAAGCACTCATGATGTACATACTGCTTGCAGGTAAGCACATTTGCACTGATTCTTCCCAGGATAATCTCAGAATAATGCAGCAACAACCACTAGTGTTGCCAGTTTGCTGATTGTTGTTCTAATAATCTTATGGCCACTCTATTCCATTTGTTTACTCTTATTACACTGTAGTGAAAAAATCATTGGCACGTGTCCAAGAATCACCAGGGGTTTCTACTTTTTTGATTTTATCTGAATAATCATTTATTAAGATTTGCTCTATCACCTGGTCTAAAAGGATTCTTTCAGGACAATACACAACTCTGTTGCCCTTCTCACCTTACTTTTGAAACTCACAGAATATGGAAAACATTAGCAGTTATTTAGTAGTTATTTAGTAGTTATTTTACAAGGCTGCTCACTCATAATATGTCTTAATAATTACAACAGTCTATTTGCTTACAGTTAGTGGAGCAGGTGTGACACTTGGCACACATGAATATTCCTTCCTTGATTTAACAGCCGCAGAGTGAAAACTACAGCATAAAAGCAATTATCTATTAAATATGTATGTGTCATATATTCTTCATCATGATGTGTGCCACTTTCTGAGAAGCAGTTTCGCTCTGCATGCAACATGCACGATTAGCTGATCACAATTCCAGGATGTATGAAATAAGCCCTTCTTGGTTGGTTCTGGTTAATTAGCTCTATAATTGAAATGCAACTAATTAAAGTCCACTGAGCATTTAGTTCCTGTTTGTTTGTCTCAATATCATCTCTATAGCTAAAACAGCACCCTGCACAATCCTACACACAAATAAATTACACCTTCAAGTATTGCAAATCTACTACAAACAGTTTGAGTACAATTTTATTTTCTTCTCATTCTTGCACAAAATACACAGGTGTAGTACATTTCCATGCACAAAAAAGTAGCACTCAGAAGGTTAACATGAAGGCTAAACTTGGAAGCAGAAATTCAATACAGTAGTTAGATAATGTTTCCAGAAAATTCTTTATTCAATAGCACTAATGCACTATGATTTAAAAGGGAAAGGCTAAAAGGAATGGCAGGTTCATGACACCAACTGTTCTCATTAATGCTAGTGAAGGTTAAGCAACTAGGTTGAGAGAAAAAAAATCCAACTCATCTGAAACAATTGCAAGTAACATTACACTGAAAAATGAAGCACTCTCTTTGAAGAAAATAGAAGCAAAAATTTCTTCTTTCCTTCAATCAAACCATCTCGATTAGTCTTAAACAGATAACATATCTAGAATAATACAATTTCCAAACAGCACTTTAATCAGCTACTCTCACCTGTTCACCTTTCCTCAACTACTTAATCCACTTAAAAAGTCGTATCCTTGACCCAAGCAGTCTCCTAGGGGGTTCACATTTGATCCTTTTTTCCATCCTCCAGTGTTTCAAGCCATGAAGCCATTCACCAACCTGTCAAACAGACATTTTCATTTCCTGTCACTTTATCCAAACCTATCATACTCATTTTGATTCCCTCTGACCCCACAGAGTGTCAGCATCAGATCAGGACAGGAGAAGAATGAGGGAGTCAATGTGTGCCTGTTATTCATGTTGGAGACTTGCCTGTGAGGACAGGGAGAGATAGCCATTTCTATGCTCTCTTTGTATTGCAGCCCCCTAATATCATCACTGTCTATTTGCTCCTTGCTTAAAAACACCAAGAATGCCATTCTGTAAACTACAATTCATGCCATCAGACTTCTGCTTACCTTCCCTTCACAATCCAGTATTCCCTCAGTTCAGTCATAAGT